CTCCTACTTGGAGGTTCATGGGCAGTTGTAAATGGGGTTATAAGTGGGGTAACTTTAATCATAACCCATATTAGGGGACTTATAACCATACTTATAACTACCCATGAACCTCCAAGTAAACCCTAAACCCCTAAACCCGAAACCCTATAAACCCTAAAACCCTAGATCTCCGGAGATGGGCTTTCCTGGACCTTCTCAAGGTACCCCTTATTTTCGGAAACTCCCACATGCCTTTGGAGGTGCTCTTGGACAAGAGCCCACCGACGGGGCCGAGAACAACCGCCACCCCAGGTGGCTGGAAACTTTCCAGAGAACCCTTAAATCATAGGAGCCCCAATGTCGGTTTAGGGTTTAGGGTTTAGGGGAATATACCTTAAATCATAATATTAGGGCCCCTATAATTTAAGGTCCATTCCTTCATTACCCAGACCACCGGGAGGATCTAAAAAGTAGATCCCCTACTTTGGGACCCCAACTACTAAAGGGTACTTTATAGGAACCCCCTTAAGGGATCTATTTTTTAGATCCTCTGGGAAGTAATATACCTGAAATCAGAATATTAGAGCCCCTATGATTTAAGGTATATTCCTGACCTAAGGGGTATTGGGTTCTCATGGTGGGGTTGAAGGGATGCCGGCTGGGCTCCCGCCCATTGCAGCTCTGAGAGTCATACGTGCCTGGAGCTGCCCATGCAGTAGACTACCGGGCAAGCTCTCTGAGCACATAATACAGGGGCCTTAAAAATTACCTATACCTTTTTGTAAAACCATAGTGCAATGTACCCCAAAACCCTATTCTGATTTCAAGGCCCCGACCTACATTAAAACTCTGTAAATCCGTAAACCCTAAACCCTAAACCCTAAACCTTAAACCCTAAACCCCTAAACCCTAAACCCCTAAACCCTAAACCCTAGGTAAATGACCTTTCTCCAGGCGGCATCTTCGTGGAAGGTTGCCAGACGATCCAGGAGAGCGATGCTGGGTTGGACCCGAAACCCAGACCACCGGGGGAGGATATATTCCTTAAATCATAGCGGCCCTAATATTATGATTTAAGGTATATTCCTTAATGAAGGAATGGACCTTAAAACATAGGGCCCTAATATTATGATTTAAGGTATATTCCTTACCCAGACCACCGGGAGGATCCAAAAAATAGATCCCCTAATAAGGGGTTCCTATCAAGCACCCTTTAGTAGTTAGGGTCCCAAACTAGGGGATCTACTTTTTAGATCCTCCCGGTGGTCTGGGTATAGGGGTCTGTAAACTTCAGGCCCTAAACCCCAAAGGGGCCTAGACTCTAACATACGTGATGGTTTTCAGATGCAGTTTGTCCTATGAACTGACCAACTTCGAAGAAGAATCGTTCCCTGCTATGCTTTGTGTGCGTGTGTGTCTGTCTTACTTGGAGCCTCAGGTGTTTGTTCTCGAATTGAGGGTGTGTGTGTGTGTGTGTGTGTGTCTATATGGGTACTTCTCTAAATAAGGGCCCCCTTCCAGGTCTCATTTATAGTACGGCACCCTTATATAAGGGGCCCTGAAAAGGACCCTAATTTAGAAAACTACTCATATCCCAAGCACAAGTCCCCTAAGTACAGCTGGGTTTAGGGTTTAGGGTTTAGGGTTTAGGGTTTAGGGTGAGATCCCATTTCACTACTTGGGGCTTGGGGTCTGCTTTCAGCAGGGCGATAGGTTGCTATGCTTCTAGGGTCCTGGGTCTAAGTTCTATTAGGGCCACAAGGGCCTGACCATCAGGGTCTTAGTACCTCAGGGGTGTGGGTGATTAAGGGTTTAAGTTTTTGGGCTTCAGGGTTCATTTAATTGGTGAGCCCGCCACACTTCAAGCGTGCTGCTGCCTCCCGGTCATACAGCCTGACGCAATTTCCAGCCTTTGCTGAAGTGACATTGTAAGCGTGTTATACGCAGGGCTACTAAGTATTCTAAGAGGGATTGCAATAATATACAAGCCCAAATAATTACCAATACTATTTTGGAGGCTCCTTATTATAATTATATCATAATGGGCCCCAGAACACTCTTCTAATTATCAAGGCCCCTATATTACTTGCAAGCTGAAGTCTATCAGGTACTCACTTGAGAGCCGAGATCTTCTAGGCAGAGCTTGTACAGCGTCCGACCCTAAACCCTAAACCCTGGAAGCTGGAAAGGGCCCATTCCTTGGGCTTCTTAGGGATCTTAGTTGTGAACTTTTCTTCCAAGGCTCTTAAAGGGCCTCCTAAACCCTAAACACTAAACCCTAAACCCTAAACCAGGTGAACTTTTCAAAGGCTCTTAAAGGGCCAACATAGATCCTTAATTAAGGTATATACCTTAAAGCATAATACTAAGGCCCCTATAATTTAAGGTAGATTCCTTATTGAAGGGATATTGGGCTCTCTGGGGACTTTCTAAATCAAAGGTCTACACCAGACCACCGGGAGGATCTAAAAGGTAGATCCCCTAATTTGGGACCCCAACTACTAAAGGGCACTGTATAGGAACCCCTCAGGGGATCTGTTTTTTTGGATCCTCCCGGTGGTCTGGGCACGAGACGGGAGCCGGCTTCACTCAAGCGCAAGTTGTCCGTTCTACTGCCGCCACTGCCGATCTTAAAGTTTTTGTTTTAGAACTGTTATATGGGTAGTTTTCTAAATTAGGGTGCTTTTTTTGGGTCCTTTTTATAAGGGTGCCGTACTATAATGGGGACCCAAAAAGGGACCCTTATTTAGGGAACTACCCGTATGACCCAAATCCTCTAAAACCCAATGCCTCAGCCCCAAAGAGTGACGCCCCGAATTTCGCAGGACATTTTCAATGCCACCATAACGCGCCGGGGGGCTCAGAGGTGGCCAGACGCCGCTGTAGTCCCAAAATGAGATTCCTTAGTCAAAGGATCCTTAATCCTTCCTCATGTAGGAACCTGATTTCGCAGCCCTGGCCCTATTAACCCCGATATGTTAGAGTTCATATTCAGAACCCCAATAAAGACTCAGGGCTTGCTGGTGTAGCATATATATATATATATATATGTATGTGCATATGTATATATATATATATATGTACATTGGGAAATGGGAATTAAGGAGGTTTCGGTTCTTCAGAGGACTTTGGGAGGTCGTATGTGTTGGTAAAGCATGTGCCAAGCTCATTTCGGCAAGAAAGTATCGAACTGTTTGGGCACCAAGGTGATTGAAGGAGAGAGGTGAGTACCATGACGACTACTACGACGATGAACACTAATGTTAAAGCCAGCGTGCAAGGAGAATGCTGCTATTACGAAGGCCCATCCTCAAGCCGACAAGGCTCTTTGAAAACCCCGAAAGCCGCACCATAATAAACCAAAAACCCACAATCGGTGCTTGCGAAAGCCGTATCAAAACCCTGAGATCCCCCAAGGTAAGGCGCCGCTGGACATGATGCCGGCAGCCCTGCCCCAGCCTTAAAGAGGATTCCCAGAGACTCCAAAACCCCTTGGTTAAGGAATATACCTTAAATTATAATAGGATCCCTAGTATGATTTAAGGTATATTCCTTAATTAAGGGGTTTTGGAGTCTCTGGGTTCTGCAGGGGTTTGGTGGTTCAGGCGTCAGGTTTTTTAGGGTCAACGGTTCAGGGTTCGAGGACTCCGGGTTGTTAGGGCTTGAGGATACTGACTACGAAGGTTTGAGGCTTTGGGTTTCAAACATTTTTGTTTAGGGTCAAGGTCCAGGTTGTGCTGATGGAGGTTCCGGCATAGGGGGACACCCCACCAGGGACAGCAAGGGAGGCACAGGCCATCATAATGTGGGGGCCTCTATCAGGTCTGCGCTGCATTGTCGCAGCGCGCGGCATCTTACGGTTGGGGGCTTAGGGTCCTATCTAAGGTTAGGAGTATGGGCCCCTAATATGGACCCTTAGGCCTTTCTAGGGACCCTTAAGGGTACATACAGATAGTCGGTATATAAGGATCCCACCCTTAAGGGCCCATACTGGGGGCCCATGGTTTCAAACTTAGATCCTAGGTTTTAGGACTTGGGGTTTTGGGGAGACCCTCAACCGCAAAACAACCACAATAGTCAAACTAAGCTTACCAAGATCTGAATCCTGTAATCCTGAGGTGCTTAAACCGCAAACCTCGAAACATCAATCCTACAACTCAAAATCCCCAAAGCCTACGTACAAGATTGAATCCTAAAACCTAAAGCCTGAACTCTAGACCCCGGAGCGAGCCCTGGCAGACAGAAAACTAAGCCTTGCAACCCCTCAAAGGATCTGGAACACTGGAACAAGCATAACCTCAAGCCAAGCAGTAGTACTAGTAGTAGGAGGAGGAGGAGTAGGAGTAGGAGTAGGGTAGGAGTAGGAGTAGGAGTAGGAGTAGGAGTCGCAGTAGTAGCAGACAGTCGTGTTGGTGGTGGTGGTGGTGGTGGTGGTGGTGCTGGTGGTGGTGGTGGGGGTGGCGGTGGTGGTGGTGGTGGTGGTGGTGGTGGCAGTGTAGTAGTAGTCGTCGAGGTGGTGGCGGTGGTGGTGGCGGTCGTGGTAGTGGCAGTGGGTGGCAGTGGTAGGGGTAGGGGTAGTGGTAGTTGTAGTGGAGAGCGGGGAGTAGCAGCAGCAGTCAGTAGTAGCAGCACTGACCCCCAGTAGTAGCAGCCAATGTCATAACAACAAGTTCACTCGGCTTAGCTGCAGAGTGTGCAGCCGTTTGCATCAGCGAATCCCCGGCCCTCAGCAGCCTCTAAGCCTGAGTGGCGTGGTGAGCTGCTGTGATGCACTTTCGCTTCAGGGTTTCTCAGCGGCTGGGTAGGTAAACTTGATCTTATCTGGGGTTTGTAATCGAATCGACGAGGTATTCTACTAAACTAGTCTAAGTTTATGTAGGTGGGCGTTTAGAAGTAACCTGATACTGTCCTTTCAGCGAATATTGCAGCAGCAAAAACGTTGTTCATGACCACCTGCTCCCCGAAGCTTGAGCAGAGATTCTGGGTCGTTGATAGAGGCGTGTCCCGCTCGATGCACAAGGTTTCGAATGTCTTGGCCGCAGCAAGTAGTAAGATCATTCCCCCGAAGTCCCTATACAGTTATACTCTCCCTTAAGTTCCCTATATAGTTCTAGCATGATATACCGCAAAGACCTGCTTCTTACTATCGAGGCCCCTATATTACCAGCCCAGCTTCCGTAGAGTTGCCACCATTGTCTCGGTGGGGATTACTGGATGACGTCTTCCTGTGTGCTTCAGGGTTTAGGATTTAGGGTGTTGGGACGATTTGCAGCATATCAACTCAAGCTCAGAATTTTCACTTCATCACTGCTGAATTAGTTAGCAGTTTTTGAGATTTACACCGCCATTCCGCTACTACTGCCGTGCTACCATATGACAGAATACATCCGCATATACAGTAAGAGCCCTAGTCGTCATCATCATCTTAACCCTCCCCAAGGAGCCACTCTACACTGGAGCCCTACAGTCCCCAAAGGGAAGGCTTTGTTTGAAGTTTAGAAGTAGGGCTCGAAGAGAGAACTTCATCACGGCACAGTTCTGCTACAAGTAGCAGCTCATGCAGCCCCCTATGCATTGCAAAGATTTGAAAAGAGGATGCAGTGTAGTGCTTACTACGTAAGTACCATACATCAGCCCCTATACACCCACAGAGAGAGTTACCCTTGGGTTCGATACACGCCGACCTCATGGAAGCCGGCAGAGGTAAGTTGGCACTGGGTCAAAGTTCTACTACTACTACTACTACTACTACTACTACTACTACTACTGCTGGCACCACCACCAACCATCACGACGACGACGGCAATGAGGTCGCACTGGACATCGACAGGCGCAGGAGTCCACCAAATCATATTACAAGTTTTGTGCGAAGACGTTAGCTGAACGATCAAAGCAAACGAACAGGTGGAATTCACTAGAGTCGCTAGAGGCTTTGTGGAGGCAGGTGTGCTTTGTCCGGAACGCTAACCCTAAACCCTTGAGGCTGCGGCTAAGCCCTCAATTCACTCCGTCCGTAGGGCGGGGGAGTTAGCACGAGAGTAATCTTTGAGGTGGTTTGTTAAGTTCTGCGGGCGGCTGAACGCAATGTCGAACCTTAGTCTGAAATTGCAGGCCGCTCCACCACGCCCAGTAAGACGAGAAGTAAGAAAGAAAAGCAATGATTAAGAGCACTTGAGGGGATCGAGGGGTTCATAGCGGCTTTAATGCAAGCATATATGCATGAGGTCATCAGGTGAAAAAGAACGCGAATACGATTTTCTTTAGATGCATATTTATAAGAGGTGCATATTTTCGGCACACTATAAAACAGCAAGAACTTATTCGAAACGGTAGCATCGCATGAAACTATGCAGCAACACCACATGGCACAATGCACAAAACTGAAAAAGACCAGTTTCGTATAGCATAGCAATACATAGTGCGGTGGAACATCAGATCAAACAGTACCATAGAACATAATGTAATAAGCAAAGTAACGTGTATAGCGCCTGCAATTTTGCACAAAATGACCTGCAGCCGAGTATCGACTCACAGGTCTCACAATCACATGGCACAACCTAGGTCGCGCTGAGCTGCGGAGTGCAGTCGGGTCCATGGCCCGGAAGAAGATTCGAGTAACTCGCCGCTTGGCTGCGGTATCACGAGTTTCATGAGTCCAACAGCTTGCAACACATTGAACTCACCGCTTGACTTTTAGGGTCGTTCCCCCAAGCAGTTCGCGGATTGTTTCAATCACCATACCCCTTCGCAGCACGCACACGGCCGGGCAAAGACCGAGGTGAGAACAGCTTCAAGAAAGTCATCCAGGATGAGGAGGCGCGTTAGGGGTTTCAGGGTTTAAGGTTTAGAGCTGATAGGGATAAGGGTTTATAGGTAGTTTTAGAGCTCCCCTAGTCCTTATACAGGTAATTTAGAGGCCGAAGTATAAACGATGTAGGAAGGAGCCTTAGTGATTGCAGATTGCAGACTTGAAGGTTTGCTCTAAGCGCTCGTTAGGTTCCCATCAGAGTTTGCAGGCTGGATGCAAAAAGCCTTAGTGATTGACCTGACCTCAGTCCCAAGGCGGAATAGCTTTCAGTCTCTGAAATTTGGATAGTTCGAGCTATGAGCCTTGAAATCTCGGTGTGCCCGGTTTGAATGATTGATTACCAATATGGGAGTTGCAGAAAATTAGGGTACCTTATTTTGGGGTCCTTATAATAGGGATCCTATTATTTAGGGTACTATATTAGGGTCCCCTATTTTCGGAAACCCCCATATTATTTTGTAGGGTTCCTTCTTATTAACCGGTGTTTGACATACCCCCGAACTCTTCTGCTGATTAAGGGCGCTGCAGTAGGCCTTCGACTTGCGGCCCTAGGTTGCGTCGCTTGTTTTTGCAGGCTGAAGATTTTTGTTGCTCCTTGAAAGCGGATCTACACCCTCAGCCGCTAAACCCTCAACCCGAAACGCCAATGGCGACAATGTTTGCCATGAGCTTGTGACTTGGCACCTGTGTTCTATCTGGTTTGTATGGGCTAATGTTAGTCATTAGGTTTTGTCAGATTCGTAAGATTCCGTTACATGATCTTCTCTGAGTATCACAGCTCGCGAGCCAGTTGTCGGTAGTACTGACTGCGCACCAAGAAACCTCATTTGGCAAGTCCGAGATGTGACAACGTAAACTAATGCTCAGCCCCTAAACTTGAACTTAGGCCCTGGTCTTAACATCTTTTCACCCCGAAGACCCAGATTCTTCTGTACACGAGGATACCTTCTCTGCCCTAAAAACCAAAAGCCGCCTTAGGGTTCCGACCCTCGAACCTTAAGCCTGAAAGCCCTAACGTGCTTCTAACCTCAAACCCGAACCCTAAACCTAAACCCAAACGGCTGTCTATGTGTCTTCTTGGAACGGTACATGTCGGTGCTGTTTCTGCGTTGCGGTCATGCTCTGCAGCGGAGACCGAACTATGACGAGCCTCAACGGCCTTGTGCGAGTTGTGAGAGTCGAAACCCAAACGCCCGTGAGCCGCACAACCCCGAAGTCCGAACACCCTGCACCCAGAGAACCCAACAACCCCTTAACTAGGGATATATAATATATACCTAAAGTTATAAGGGCCCGAATATTATGACTTAATATATGTTCCTCAATTAAGAGGTATTGGGCTCTCTGGGAAGCCCCAAAGCTCTGAAGTCGCGAAGCCCTGAGACCCAAATATACACAAATAAGACAAGATAACATCATACACGTACCACGTACTATGTATGCACACATGCATACATATACACATGTACATATATATATATATATATAGATGTAATATGTATATATATATATATACATACATACATGTGTGTATATACAACATATGACATATCATACATACTGCCATATATTGACCAAACCAGCACCTTCGGAGAGGCGCAGAAGAAGAAGCAGGAGCTGAGGCTGGCTAGGCCGAATCTTGGGAAGCTGTCTTTTGAAGCTTGGGTTTAGGATTTAGGGTTTAGAGTTTAGGGATCTTTGCGAATTTTAGGGTTTAGGGTGTTAGGGTGTTAAGGCTAAAGGGTGTAGGACATGTTGATCTTGGGGAGATGTCTTTTGAAGCTTGGGTTTAGGGTTTAGGGTTTAGGGTTGAGGTGGGATTCGTCTCTTTGAGGGCTTTATGCTTAAGCTTCTTTTGGCTGTTAAGGTTTGCCTCTTTTCGGCTTCAGTGTTGGGGGGGCTTTTGGACTTTGGATTGCGGCGATCGGCTCTAGTATGTAGGGGTTGCCTTTTTGAGGCACTGCCGCAGTGTGGGCTTATGGCCACCTCTGGGGCAACCCTGTCAAAATCTGATACGCCCAGGTTTGAGGGGCAAAGATAGTCAGCCCCGGCCCTTTATCTGAAAAAGCGTTCTAATGTGAAAAGGGCCTGCGTAATTACCAAGATTATTTTGGGGTTTCCTTAGTATAAGTTATAGTAAAACCCTATTCTACTTCTTAAGGCCCCTAAACCCTAAAGCCCTTATAGTTTCCCTTCTAGAACCCTATAGGGAGCCCCAACACCCTATTCTAATTTTTAAGGCCCCTTTTTTTTGACAGCTTGTCCTCCTTAGAGGCGGGCACACATCCGCGAAGAGATGCGGAAGGCGGTCGGCCCGGACGCGGGGGTTGGTTTGGGGCTAAGATCCAGTCGAATGGGTGGTATTTTGCAGGTTCATCTCTTTGTCAGAGTGTAAACTCTACCACATTCGCCACCTTTCCTTTAGCCTCTCAAGTTACAGGTACTACAAGTTTGATCCCACTTGCGCACTTGTAGGGTCACTTAGTGTTCAAATCCTGCCCTGATCTCAAGCTGCTTCAGTATGATCCTTGAGCCATGATTTCGGAGTAAGGTCCACGATTTGTGCAGGGCCCTGGAGTGACCAGACCCTTCGGTAAAGCTCGGGGGGGCACTGGCCCTCAGCTTGATCCTGACCTCGAAATCGGCCCTACATGTATATGGGTAGTTTTCTAAATTAGGGTCCTTTTTGAGGTCCTTTTTATAAGGGTGCCGTACCGTATTGGGGACCTAAACAGGGACCCTAATTTAGAGAACTACCCACATGTATATCGCTGATGAACATAGCCGTGTCCCTTGGCAATAGAAGCGACTGTGACCTGGTTATCAAGACCTGGCGGCCCAAGCCGACACCCTAAACCCGAATCGCTAAACCCGAAAACTCTAAACACAAGCCCCAACTTCACCCTGAACCCCAAAACCCTAAACCCTAAATCCCTAAACCCTAAACCAATGACCCGAAGCCCCTGTGAATCTTCGGAGCCCACGTCTGCGTGAAGGGTCATGGGCTTATATAGAGTCTTTCAGGACTTAGTGTTGGTGTTTAGGGTTTAGGGGTTTAGGTTTGGGGTTTAGGGGTTTTGTTTTGAAAATGACAGGGTTTGTTTTGAAAGTAGGGTTGTACGTATATCGCAAGCCCGCGTAACCTACCTGCAGGTATATAATGTACTTTCGGTGAAATACAAACCCGATGAAGGTAGCTAGAGCTGCAACTCTACTTTCATAGCTACCGTTGTACCGTCAAGGAGGCGTGATACTTGAAACCTCGCTTCAACTTTAGGGAAAATCCCAAAAAAGCGATGCCTGAAAGCCTACACAAGACGTATGAGTATAGCCCTCGAAGCCTTCACTCCACCAACCGCCAATCCCTAAAACCCTCAAGCGCGAGACCCCGCAAAAAAGGGGCCTAAATAAACACCAATATTATTTTGGGGGTTCCTTATTCAAAATATAGGATACTGGACCCCAAAACCTTATTCCAATTATTAAGGCCCCTATATTAGGTAAAAACCGATCAAGCCCGAGACCCTAAACCCAAACCCTTTAACCCACGAAGAAGCAGGGCATGAGGGAAAAGCTGGAGAAGGTGCGAGCAGAGCTCGAAGGCGGTAGACTCTGCGGACGGTTTGGGGGTTTCGAGGGTTTAGGGGTGTGGGGTTTCGGGGTGCCGGTTTCCTGAAGTGTCCGTGTCTGTGTGTGTGTGTGTGCTTGTGCTGGCATTTCTATAAGAGTTCTATCGTACGGTTTATGGTTAGTCCACAGGGGTCTCGGGCTATTCAGCGTTGTGAGGGCTTTTTTAGGATGTACGCTCAAGGGTTAAGGGCCCTAGGGCTCTGGCTCGGCTTTAGATTTGAGGGCTGAGGCTTTTAGGATTTGGGGTGGAAGGCTTTCACAGTTTGGGGACTCAGGCGGCTTACTGTTTAGGGCTCCACGGCTTTGTTTGGGGTTTAGGGAAACTCTAAGCCTATGTCATGGAGTTCATGTCCTTTTACAACGAAGTCATCAGTTTAGCACGGTGCTTACAATTCAAACAGTTTCCTCAGATGTGTCAGTTCGCATACTCTCCTTGCTGTAGGTTAGGGGAGTGTGTGTTTGGCTAGACCGGGCTGCTGGACACCGAGGCCTGTTGCAAAAAGGGAAAGTCTAAAGAGCTTAGGGTTTAGCATCCCTGTCGAAGTGTAGCGAGCTTTGGAGGGTAGGTTCCTCCGGGCGGCCACCGCTTGTCTAGCTCATAACTCCCTGTCGGTTGGATGTTGATCCATACTCGTTCCCCTAAACCCTAAACCCTGAACCCTAAACCATGGTCATACGTCTACCCGTTCTCTTGCTTCGATAGGCTGGTGGCTCAGAGTTCAGATTTTGGAGTTCCCTAAACCCGTGCTCAACTTTGCAGCCTCGCAGCCCAGGTGATCACGACACGTTTCACCGACCTTCTCGAACTCCCCACCTCGCAGTGCATTTTCGCCTTTGTCCTTTACCATAGTTCGTGATGGGGCTGAACATTAAAACATCACGGTTGTTACTATTATGTACAAGTAACACCATCTGAACCAAACTGTCGGGATCCTATGCTTCTCATTCCTGCCAGTTTCCTGCGGCTGTGTGGCTAATTCATCCACTCCTCCGCATCGCTCAGAAGTAGAACCCCTACAGGATTTTATAATAGCCCTATAGTAAACTTTACTTACCAAAGACCTTAAAAGCAACCCATATAATCCCTGAGCCGAACCCTAGTCCTCAACCTTAACCCTAAAAATCCCAAACCGCAGTAAGCCTTTTCCCTTGTAATAGGGTCTTCGGGCCCAAAAGCAGCCTTAAAATACGATTGATAGTAGAAATCCTGCATTACTCAGAATAAGGAACATACCATAATTCCCATAGCTTAGGGTCCTTAACTTAATGCTAGATTTGTATGATCAAGCGTATGAGTCCTTTAAGGGTAAGCCTTTCTTTAAAAGGCGACGATCCCGAAGCTCCAGCAAAGACTGAAGACGTGGAGATGGACGGCTCGTCGCGCAGCATCAAGGCAGGGGGGGGGTTCTTTTAAAGCTTAGTCTTAGTATAATGGGCTACTAGACTGGTTTATGATAGGGTTTCGGGTTTGGGGCTGAGGGGGGCCTTAAGAAATAGAGCGTTCTTTAGATAGCTCAGCAACCAAGTGATGCGCGGTGGCCTCTAACAAGTGAGGGACTTCGTAGGTACGAAGAAAGAAGTCCTGGCCTCCTCCAGTGTCCACAGCATCCTGAGGGTGCCCTAGTCACGTGTTTTAATGACGACAAAGTTTGGAATAGAAATAGTAATGACACTAAATCAGAATGGACTTAGGACTTATATTTTCTTACAGTCCCGACGAGATCAAAACATAGTTTTCCCTTATCGGCAGGAGCACAGCCCAGTGGCCCTGCTCGTTGCAGAGAAGCCACTAGTGCCCTAAACTTGGGGGCTGAGTAGATAACCTTTAACCTTTTTGGTCCTTCTATAATCCTACTATAATTGAAAAGGCTAACCTTTTTTGGGCTAGGGTACTCAGCCCCTAAGTAAACCCTAAACCACTGAAGGGGTTTGGCCAGGGTCAAGCCTTGGAGAGAATTCTGTTGGAGTTCGATATGGGAATATCCTGTCGCTCATAGGGTGAAGATTAGGGTTTAGGGTATCAAGAAAAAGAGTACAGTTCGCTGATGCAGCTGCATTAGCTCTGCTTCGGTCGTTAACTCAATATAACAATCCTCTGAGGCCTGTTGCCTTAATGAGACTTGAAGCTTGCTGCCTAGGACGCACCCGGCCCTAGGCCTTGCAATATTGCATCCTATCTATATATTTATATATTTATTTGTTTATTTATATTTATATTTATACACTCACATAGGCCGAATACGTACTGAAGCCGGCAGCTTTCGGTCGTAGGCCGGTTAGGCATTCCGTCCCGAAGCCTGTCGATCCTGAAACACTCAGACCCTAAGCTCTCCTGCAACTCCCCAACCAAACGTAACGCTAAACCCTAAACCCTAAACCCTAAACCCTAACACAGCCTTGCCTGGCAGAGCTCGAGGTTGCTCTTCGGGCTGTGGTCCAGGATACTAGACTTGTTCGAAGTGTAAAATAATAACAATTACCAAATACTAATACCGTTCTGGTGTTTCCTTGTAATGTATAGTTATAGTATAATATACGCCGCTGTAGCAGGGTTGCTCTTCCAAGTTCCAATTTCCGCAGCGATGTTTATAGCGGCAAAGTTTGCCAGGAGCGTCTGAAACTTTGAACACTCACATACGATCTCTAGTCCACCTCTCGCAATCATCGGTTATCTCTTCGGAACCCTCATTTGTTCACTGATCAGGCATGGGTAACCCTCGAAAACTTCTTCTGACAATCTCGACTTCTGTACTACGCTCTAAACCCTTCTGACTGGCACTGCAGGTTGTATCAAAAAGCAGAGGGTTTCCAGGGCCAGGGCGCAGGAGTCACATCTTGGCCTTGCGTAGTTGTGAGCCGCAAGACCTGTTCCCGACTACGATGTGGTTCCATCGTGGCTCCAGCTGCACGTTAATCCATTGCATTTGTGCAAAGAGCTCTACGTTGCTGTTGTTACGTCGGCATTCCCGAAGTAGGCAACAGAGTTCGATGATCAATGTTTGGCCTTGGTCCAACATGCATTGTTTGCCCTCCTGGCATGACAAGCGAAAGAAACTCAGTTCGAGACCATCAATGTTGCCCGCATCATAGATATCCTGCATATCGAGCCTTATCGAGCGAGTGATAACATGGCGGCGGCGCCGTAGGCATGCAACTCTCGCGAGCACAGAACCTTGACCCAGTTCTTTCGGTGCAGACGCGGGGATTGTTCTGGGACCCGAAAGCCCCAAACCCCCAAAACAGCTCGTGCTTTCTCTCGCGGCTGATGATAGGTGAGGGCTGTCGACTTACAGTTGTTTCCTTGAAAATTTGCCCTTGTCGCCATGTGTTCGAACGCAGTTACCATATTTATAGAAATCCACTATTACAAGGGTACAAGGATACAGTTTAGGTTCTGTATAAGGCTACTACTCAGGGTATTATAGGGCACAATAAGTGCAATCTTTGGGTTGCAGAACTGCATGGCTGATTTTGCAACGGTGGCTTTTGCGGCCTTACACTCATGTCTTGATCTACCCGCTGTTTCGCCACTCAACCGAGGAGAATATGTGGACAGATGACAATGTCCTGCAATCATGCTTTATTTCTGGTTCTTTGTCTTCTGTGCTGGGCACCAGTTGGCGGCGACTGCGGCTCAGATTGCAGATGGCATGAAAGCTCCTTCAACGTCCATGCCCTGAACCCTGCATGTGGGAGGTCAGACAGCCATCCTCTGCGCTTCAATCCACCCCTTTACAGGAACCTTTTTGGGGCGCTTATGGGCTTTCATTGGAAGAACTGTAGGCAATATGAGTAATCCAGCGCATGAACCACGGACCCAAGACCCTGCAGCACCGAAGCCACGAAAGCCGGACATGGTTTCCAACGCCATGCGGACCAAAAGCAGCAAGCCTTTTCTCCGCTCGGCTTACACTGCAAGCCCAACCGCTTTTTGCGGCTAAAGATTTGGGTTGGTCCTCAGAAGACAAACCCTCGTGCAAAACAAGAACGAGCCTGCAGAGGTTTGCCGGAGGCAGTACTGGAGAAGCACCTGTGACGCACCGGTTGTTGAGGGGCCGTTCTACTTGGAGGATCATGGGACTTAGTAAGTATGGTTATAAGTCCCCTAATTGGGGTTATAATTATAGTTACCTTAGTTATAACCCTACTTACTAAGTCCCGTGATCCTTTAAGTACGCTTGTGGTTTTGGCATGTTCGGGGCTCTGCCTCTCTGCCTCCAGACATCGAATTCTGACGGTCTGGCGTTATGCAACTGTGGGATTTCAATTTGTTCGTTCAGTGTGGAGAGTGAGGATCCCAGGTCTCAGGTGCCTGCAGATTATTCAAAGAACAGTCCTGGCGAGAAGAACACGGATCGCTTGCAATGTTGAGGAATCGCACGTACATCCAAGACATCGACGGCAACGACATCCCAATCGGCTTTCTGAGAATGGATTGGCGTTCGTCCGTCATTGCAACGGCGACTTGTCGGCTGGGTTTAGGGTTTAGGGGTTTAGGGTTTAGCTGCTCAACAAAAAGGGTTTAGGGGTTCGGATCATCAGAGTTCGCAGCTCGTGGCTTACTGGCTGCTTGTTCTTGCTTGGCTTCTGTGTGGAGCCACTGTTCGGCTCTCCTTGTGCGCTTGCCGCGTATCTTTGCTGGGCCCAAGATTGATTCGCAAGCTCATTACTTGTAGTTGGAGTGGGGGGCGTTTAACCGCTGTGTGGCACAAGAACAGACTTTCTGTCACTTTCCGATTCCAGCGTAGTTAAGCCTATGCCGTTTTTCCGCGCTTTCCAGGATACATGCATTCAGTACCAGGCCGATGTATTCGTGCTGCTCCTGTTCTGAAAGTGTAGGGGCGCCAATGCGCCGTGCAACTTGCAGTTGGGTGATAGTGGCAAGAGCTTGCTTCTCACCCGCTTGGCAAGTCACCAGTCACCTGATCCTCTAAACTTGGCCTTCAGCGGGGCTCCGCTGAAGAGTCACCGAAAGGTCAGGGGTCCCAATCGCTTACAAGATCTCTTGTGAGGCCATTGCGCGCATCCTTGTGGAGGAGGCAGAAGACCGCTGTTGAGATGAAAGTACGTCTTCACTTCTGATCCAGTAGCTTTTGATTGAAGTTGCGTTGGTTAGTCCGTTTACGCGTCCACGAAGCCCCTAGGCCCTATGAGCCACCGCTAAACCCCTAACCCTAAACTACTACTACTACTACTACTACTACTACTACTGCTACTGCTACTGCTACTGCTACTACTACTGCTAGTAGTACTACTACTACTACTACTACTACTACGACTACTACTACTACTCCTAGTACTCCTACTACTCCTACTACTCCTACTCATACTCCTACTCCTACTCCTACTCCTACTCCTACTCCTACTCCTCCTCC